CCCCCCCCCGCCGTGGATGCTGTTGCCGCGCCACGTGGCAGCTACTGTGAACTGAAGACCCCCCTGCTCAAGGGGGCTGCTCTACAGTGGTGAGGGCCTGCTCACACAGCAAACCCTAGATCTGCACATCTGCAGAAGTGCTGCTGGGGGCTGATCAAGATCTCAGCCCCCCTCTCTCCTCCAACTGGCTGTTGCAGCGAAGACCAAGACCCTCCTGGTCTTGGTGTACCTTGTGCCCTTGGAGACACCAAGGGCCAGGTATCACTCCCTTCTCCCCTCTCCCTCTACTAACCCACTCTCCCTACCTCTCCTCTCTCTTCTTATTCACCCCTCCTCTTTCCCCCACCTTCTGCTGCATCTTTTCTCTCCTCTTTATCTTCCCCACCCCACCTTTCTCCCACCACCCATTCTTTTACTCTATTTTCTTCATGTCTTCTTTTCTTTCCTTCTTTCTCCTTCTTTCTTGATCCCTGTCCACCTTTCCCCATCCCTCCTCTCCCCCAACTACCACCACACCATCCCCCCTACCTCCCACTTTATCTTTTTCTCTCCCCCCACCTATTTCTTTCTTTTCTCCTTCACTTTTTCATTCCCCTTCCCCCCTACTTCGAATTTTTTTCTGTTTTTCTTCTTTCCACCTCTCTTTTGATTTATCTTTTCTCTTTCCAAAAATTCGAAATCTCTTCTTTCCCACCCTTTTTTCTGATTTTCTGATTCATTTCATTTATTTTTCTATTTATTCTGGAAATTCGATTTTCTCTACGGCAACCCTAAACCAGATTAGTTGTTAGTTTTCTCATCTTCTTCCCCACCCTCTTTTCTTATTTTCTGATTTATTTTATTTATTTTTATTTATTCTGAAAAATCGAATTTCTTGGCGGCAACCCTAAATCTGATTAGGTGTTAGCCTTTCTTGTTTTCGGCACACGTTTTGACCCCGTGGGGGTAACGAAGTGCTGCCGAAATTTTCTGATTTTCTCTTACTTAGTCTTTTCGGCACACTTCGACCCCATGGGGGTAACGAAATGCTGCCAAAATTTTCGAAAAATCAGATAACCCATTTCTCCCCACCTCCTCGCACATTTATTTATTTAATTATTATTTCTTTATTTATTTTTTGAAATTTCTTTTTATTATTTGCGGCATCTCTAGTGTGCTCACCTTGGTCTCTCCTTTTCCCTTAGTACATTCTTGACCCCGTGGGGGGTAGGGAAATGCTGCCGGGAATTAAAAAAAAATAAATATTGTTTTCCCTTTCCATCCTTTTACTTATTTTTTTACTTATTTTTATTATTTATTTATTTCCTTATTTATTTTTATTTTCTCTCGAAATCTCGCTGTTTATTTATTTTTCTCCCGCCTTCCCCCCCCCTATGCTTGCTCTTTTACTTTCTTGATTAGGTCACCGGTACCCTACCCTAACCACTTAAGCCTCGGTTAGGGTTTTCCTTAGGGGTTTTGTAGGGTTTAGGGTTCCTCAAAMCCCCCCTACTTCCCCGTCCTCTTCGGGCACCCTGGACCCGAACCACCCCTCCCCCTTTGACGGCGCCCGCGCTAGCCTTGCTAGCGCCGTTCGCCGCTTTCTACCGCGGACTTCCCCCTACGCCCTCCGCTCACGCGGACCTCTTCTCCCTCCAGTCCGGTCCGTTATCTCCCCATGGCTGACGGTGTGTCACACGCCGCCGACACGGCGATAACCACGGCATCGGGCTCCACACCCGTGCCGGCGGACCAAGGCCATCAGCCCCAGGGGGATCTGCACACCTTCCTCACCTCCTTCCTGGCGCCCATGCAGGCGCAACTCGCGACCCTCGCGCCCATGCAGGCGCAACTCGCGACCCTCGCGCCCTTACAGGCGCAGGTGGCGACCCTTGCCGCCGGCGTGCAGCAACTCCAGGACGCTGGTCGTCCTTCCTCTCCTCACCCTATCTCTTCTCTTGGCTCCCAGTCCGGGTCCCCCGCCTTTCGACAGGGTGGCCACGGTGGAGCTTCCTCCTCCGCTGCCCCCGACCCGGCCATCTTGGTGACCGTCCACGCACCTAGCACGACGACCGCCACGAGTCAGGCCCTCCCTCAGTCCACAGGCGCACCCGCCCAGATTCCGGTCACGACGGCCACGGGACCACAACCCGCTACCATGGTCTCAACTTTTCCGGGTGCCCCACTTCTCTCCCCTCTTCGCACGAACGCAGCGCCATCTGGCTCTCCCCCTTGTGGGATGCCTCGCGCCGCTCGTGCTTCTCCCCCTGCCACACCTCGCTCGACCTACGTTCGAGGTCTCGAGGACGAAGTCGCCCGGCTCCGGACCGACCTCGCCCTCTCACGCCTTCAGCCACCCCCACCCTCACAGGTGGCCGCGCCTTCCGGCGCACCCCCTCCTTCCTCTATTCTTCCTTCCATGCAGGCTCGCTTCCCTCGCCCTGCACATTACCAATCTCCATCCTACCTCCTCCCCATCCCCTCGGTTGCTACGACCTCTTCTACTGCAGCTCCCGTGCAGCCTACCGCTGCTTCCCCCACCGCTCCACCATGCGGCCCAGGCGTACAGTCAGTTGCGCCTCCTCCTCCAAGACCTGCGCCGACTTATTCCGCCGTAGCGCAGTCCCCTGCTTCCCGTTCCCCTCGCCGCTAAAACGGTGGTGCACCACTCATCCGCTTGTCGGACATTCCCTTGTATGATGGTACAGGCATACGCGTGTCTAGGTGGCTGCAGGCTGCCACCCGCACGCTCCAGCTCATGGGCTACACACCCGACACGTGGGTGGGTCACCTCTCCACGCGCCTGCGTGGTGCTCCTTTCGACGCCTGGGAGGATTTCTATGCTTACTCCCTGCGTGCGGGTCGGACTCCGACCTTCATGGATTTTCAGGCGTTCCTCGAGGATCGCTTCGGAACCCGATATGACGTGACTGACGCCTTCAAGCGTGTCGTCACTACACGCTGGTCCGGCTCGGGTGGCGCTGCCGGCCTTGATCGCCACATCCAGGTCTTTCAGGACGCCCGCCTCGTTTGTGACGTGGCGTTCCTTCCCGAGGCTGCCCTTATCGATTGTTTCTTGGCCAGCCTCCCGCTCGAGTACGCTCCGAGCTATGGCGGTACGAGTTCACATCGGCCCCGCAGGCTTACGAGGCCGCCAGGAACCATGAGCGGATGCGAGCCCGTCTTCACCCCGCCTCCTCCTCCCAGCCTTAGCGCACGGGTTATGCCTCCTCCTCCTCTCACGGCACTTCCCAGCGCCGTTCCCTTTTCCACGGTCGCCCCCTCCGTTCCGCACAGCAGGGCCGTCACTTCTCGCGCCGCTTCAGCGCGCTCGAGTATGGTGAGCAGGACGCTGGTGCCCCGCAGTCGCCAGAGGGTGATCATAGCGATGATCTCGACCTCGGCGATGCCGTCCAGCACCACCTGGAGGACCCTACTCTCCCTATGGCTGAGCGCCTCCAGCTCATCCTTTCCACCCTTTCCCGGGCACGCAGCCGCCCTGGTCACGCTGGCGCGTCGCCCCCCAAGGTCCCTCTACAGGACCTCCCTCAGGGCTTTGTTCCTCCTCGCGGTGTCCTTTCCTCTGAGGAGCGAGCAGCTATTATGGGCCGACGTGGGTGTTTGCGCTGCCGCTTGGACGGTCATACCTCCTCGCGGTGCCCTTACACTACCGCCCTCGACCGCCACTACGCTGACCTTTCCCGCCAGCGTCGTGCTCAGTCCCCCCCGGGCGCCTCGCACTTCCGCGGCGCCTCCTAGCCACGGTGCAGTGTACACCTGCGCCCTCCTCAATAGTGGGCTTCCCGACATCTCCGTCGTGGTTCGCCCCTCTCGCTACTGGAGTTGAGGTATCGCAGGACTCGACAGAGTGTACTCAGCCCTCTGTCGCAGTACCGGCGCAGACCACCGTCTCCCCTCCTTCCCCGCCTCGCCTACCGACGCGTCGAGCCATTCGCTCAGCCCGTTGCAGCGAGCAGCTCGCTACTCGCGAGGACGTCGTGTCCTCTCTTCTGGACTTGAGCATGCTCCAGGCTCGTCAGGAGCGACTCACCCTCCATGTCGCTGCACTGCGTCGACTTCTCGCCATCCTCTCTGACCCTGATCGCACCCTCCCGATCATCCGAGTACGACTCGAGACCTCCACGAGGGTGTACTCAGCGTTGTGGGATTCTGGTTCTCAGGGCGACTTCATTCACCCACGCGTGGTGAAAGAAGCCCGCTTACCCACGACAGGTCTCCGACTCCCATCTCCGTTACCCTAGGGGATGACAAGACCCAGTGCTTCTTCGATCAGACGGTCACCGACCTCCCTTTCTTCCTCACTCTCGAGCCGACTGATCGTCCCCCGGCGTCTCGTCGCCACCGCTCCTCTGCACATTTCGATGTGATGGAGACGGAGTACGACTTCATTCTCGGCACTCCGTGGTCTCGTCGGTTCCGCAACACCGAGGCCGATTGGGTGACCAACACTCTCGTTCTCAAAACGAAGTGTGGACAGACGTATCGCGTACCTTTCATAGGTACCACCGCGACACCACGCCCGGATCCTCCTCCCCCGGAGCGTTCCGTGCCCACACCATCTCCTTCTATCGCTGTCACCTCGCCTCGGCAGTTCGCCCACTTCATCCGACAGGACGACGTCACCTTCTTTATGGTGAACGTGACGGATCTCTTACACTATGATCCACCCTGTCCCGACGCCGAGCTCATCCCTCTGGAGCCAGATCCTCCTTCTATCTCCATGGCTCCCATCTCTACTTCCGTCCCTCCGCCGTCCGTCGAGTCCACTCCGTCGTCGCGCGCTGACGTTGACGCTGAGGAACTCGCAAGATATACGGTTGACATGGAGCCTGCAGTTCGTGACCTCATCCGAGAGTACCTGAGACTGGGTTTCATTAAACCCAGCAACTCCCCGTGGGGTGCACCCGTCCGCTTTGCTTGCAAAGCGGATGGAACTCTTCGTCTCAACATCGACTACTGAGGTCTCAACCGCTACACGGTTAAGAGCAGCTACCCCATGCCTCGTTC